GCTCAGCTGCCACCTCTCGTTCGCAGGCTCTCGCTGTACGATGCCTCTTGCCAGATCGCCCAGGAGATCGCTGAGAAAATCCAGGAGCGTAACCGCTACCAAAGGAACGGGGAGAGTTCAGCCAAGGTACTCCTCTGCCCGCAGCTCTGGGGTCTGCGAGCGTGGGTGCTTTTAGCTACATTTTGCCTTTAACCTCTCTAAATGCTGGTTAAGCGTGAAATTTGCAGGAGTGGGATGTGTCTAGGAAGCTGTAAGGCCTGAATTTCCTGCCTCTGACTGCGGAGGGAAGTGGCTGCTGCCTGGGAGGGCGCGTTAGGCAGGCGACGGACAAAGCGCAATGGGGAAGGGAGGGACTCTCCACCGCCCCTCTCAGGCCGGGGACCGGGCTGTGTCAGGCCACAGTTGTTGCAGCTAGAGACCTGCGGGTCTGAAGTCATGTTTAATGGCCGGAACATAGTATTAGTGGTGTGTTCCTGAAGGTTTCTGGGAAGGGAACAAGAATACGATTTCTAAGTTAACAGTAGCTTTTCAGTGCCACACCAAAAAAAAAAAAAAAATCTTGCATTTAACAGTAATGAATCTATTCTGCATGCAATAACGCTGGTTTTACAGCAGGAGAAGCAATGGGAGCGTTGGCACGCGCTGCTGACTGCTCAGGGCTGTCGCTGCCAAGAACAGAACAGTTTTCAGAGATCCTGACTCTAAGAGATGTTGGGATGCTTGTCAGCTTCTGCGTGCTCCTTTCAGTGTAAATACAAAATATATATATTCTTCCCCACAAAGCTGGCTTGCTTCCTTCCTATAGTGGCTATAGAGGAGATGAAATAGGAATTTTGCAGCCTTTTTTAAGCTATATTTCTAATAAAATATAAGACCAGAGTTAAATATGAATGAGAAGCAGAAGTTAGAGCTTACCTGGGAATATTATGTCTCCACCTTTTCACACTTCCTATTTAAAAAATAAAACGATTCTCAGGAGGCTGCTTTCTGTAGGATTAAAAGCCTCCTCTTTTCCTTCAAGAAGCATAGGAGCCTGCTTGATTGCACGCCCTAGGGATTGTGCCATGAACTTCTCCCTTGGCTGCGTGAAGATGAAAAGGCGTGCAAGCTCTTGAGTTAGTCTTTTGTAATAATTTGCATAACTAAAAAACCTGCTGAATGATTTATTTTCTAGCATCTGCCCCTCTTCATAGCAGGGTTGTAATGTGACGCACGATTGCTCTATCTTTTTTTTGCAGGTCTCTTTGCTGATAGCTTTTAAAATAAAACGTCAGTTTTGAAATGTTTCCTCTGAAGAAATGCTAACAAAAACTGCGTAGGCTTTGTACGATAATCAGTGCTTTTTAATGACTCAAATTTGGCATGAATTGAAAAGAGGTTTCAGGAGGCGCAAGTAAGTGGGATTTGGGAGAAATATTTTCTCTAGCTGTAGAATTGAGTGTTTAGGGGTGATTAAATTCCCTGGTTTCAAGATGATGAAGTATTAGGAATTGTACAGATACATAAGCAAAAGAAGACTAATAAAAAGATTGCTGCTCAATCCATCTGTGTTTATAGAGGACAAAATTCTCTATTGGCATCAATACAATCTGTGACGTGTTCCAAAAATCCCCAACAAAATGTTGTATTAGTGGTTGAAGCCGTTCTCATACCGTAACTCTCCAAGGCCGTGTTTTATGGAAACATTACACGGTTGACTTATTTCTTCATAAAATCATTTGTTCCATGCCCCGTGTTTTCCAAGCGCAGTTTCCCTTTAATCCATTAACAGTTAGAGATGAATATTTGGCAGTGTTTGATTCTACTATAAACAGGTTTCCAACAATGAGAGAGTTGTTTTCATAACAGAAATGCATGTTGAGAAATCCACGGCTGAGCAGTCATACATTCTATGACTCCTGAATGTTTTAACGGAGAAGTTGTCTTTGTACAGTGTTTGCCTGGTAGGGAGAATGTAAACAAGATTTTATTGTAGTGTATTGCCATTAGCATGGATAAAAAAAACCCTTACTGCTTATTGCTGAGCAAAAACTAGAGCATAAAATTTAAAATGGAAAAGAAACCCCAGCCCTGTAGGGAA